TATTTCCCTCGGGTTTGGGCTTGGGCCTGATCAACCCGTGTCTCGGATCCGAGGGGTATCACAGGAAGTGTGCCGACGAGAACGTCGGGCCTCCAAGGGGGGTGGATTGTGATGACCTTATGGGCAGGTGTGCCGTAGGCGGGTGTGAGAGACACTAACATGCTACCACATTGGCGAGCTACGAGTGCACAAGTCCCACATCACCTGGGAGAGGGAAAAGTGAAGTGCTTATATGTAGATGTGTTACTCCAATTGGTATGAGGCCTTTTGGGGTGAAGCCCAAGAGCAAAACCGTGCGGGCTCAGGCCCAAAGCAGACAATATCATACCATGTGGTGGAGTGGGTCTTTACAAATGGTATCAGAGCTTGACCCAGCCGGAAGTGTGCCGACGGGGACGTCGGGCCTCAAGGGAGGTGGATTGTAATGGCCTTGTAGGCGAGTGTGCCTTGGGCGGGTGCGAGACACTGTCAGGTTACCACACTGGTGAGCTACGGGTGCACAAGTCCTACATCACCTAGGTAAAGGAAAGGTGAAATGCTTATATGTAAGTGTATCATCTCCAAATGGTATGAGGCCTTTTGGGGTAAAGCCTAAGAGCAAAACCGTGCGGGCTCAGGCCCAAAGCGGACAATATCATACCATATGATGGAGTGGGTTGTTACAGAAACTGGAAACAATGTTTACTCGGTTTCTTTCTCTATAGTAATAAAATCAGTCTAAGCAAAACAAAACTACAAAATTTCTAACACTTTGTTTGGGAGCACTGATGGTCCGATGCAGCATCTTGAAATTGAAATTAAAATTGGAGAAAATATAGTTCAAAATTTTAACTTTTAATAAGAAAATTTGATGCACCATGTATCATATAGATTGTTATTTAACTAAAAGGTTCGTAGGTGTTTAAAAAACAACAAATTTGAAGAAATATTGGAAAGAAAGCAACCTTAAGCTCCACATCAACATATTCAACAACCAATAACCTATACCAAAAGAGGAAAAAAAAGAAAAAAAAGAAAAAAAAGAAAAAAAAAGAAAAAAAAAAGGGAAGTAGAACCAGCAAATTCCAATGTTCATGAATCGACTAAAGCAAAAATTGAAAGTATTGACCATTTTGGCCTTAATACACCAAAAATTGTATCATACAGAATAAGTTTTCATTTCCCACTTCCTTCCCATCTTCTATCTCCATTATTTAAAACAAGAGGCATTCCATGTGAAATAAAAAGACATTTCTTTAACTAGAATTTGATAGCCTTCCTGATTAATTAGCAAAACCCAGAAGCAAATGATGTGTGTGCGTATGAATCTCCATAATACCATTTACAATATGGAAATAACAAAATATTTGCTAGCTATTAGAAAAGATAGGCATTTGACAAGATTTACTTGCAAATTACAATAATAATTGGAGAACCTTTAATTCTCTGGCATTTTATCAATGTTGGTTTTTCAGTATTCTTTTTTGTCCAAATATCCATCAACCAAAAAATTCGTAAGGGGGCAAACTGTTCATGTTCTATTTAATGAAAAAAATAAATAAATAAAATAAAAATAGCTGTTTCAAGTTCTGAATTGTATTATTAATTTTTAATTGTTATCTTCTGAAATTTCAGAATAAACAAGCACTAAGGGTGTGTTTGGTAGTTGATTTGGAGGGATGGGGAGAGAAAAGAAAAGAGAGAATAGTATAAGAGTGTGTTTGGGTAACTTAATTCGAGAGAAAAGAGAGGATAGGGAGAGATAGGGAGGGATAGCTATCCCTCCCTATCCCTTATAAGCTTTCTCTCCCATTTTGAGAAGATAGGGAGAGATAGGGAAGGATAGTAAGTTATAAACTCTTAATACCAAAAATACCCTCCACAAATCAATATAAAGAAAAGTTATTCCATTTATGTCCTAATTTTGTTTTCATCCATTATTTTAATTTTTTTCTTTTTTACTTTTGTTTTTACCCATTGCATTGAACTATCACAAAGAAACATTCCAAATATCCTATGTGAGATTTTGGAAATGGATAATATGTGAAGTGGTTATGAAAGGGTAGGATAGTAATTTGGTCACTATCCTTTCTTTTATTTTCTCTCCTCTATCTTATCCAAACAACAATAATCATCCTTTCTTTTCTTTTCTCCCCTATCTATCCAAACACGAATTAAAATTATTACTATCCTTTCTTTTCTTTTCTTTTCTCTCCTAACTAATACTATCCTTTTTTTTCTTTTCTCTCCCATCTATCCAAACACACCCTAAGATTGAAACTTGAAAAAGGAATCCAATTCATAGGGAGAAGGATTTTCCAGAGCCTTCGTAAAAGAAATCCAATTCGATAAATACTTGATACATCAAAGTAGTTTGCCCTAGTTATACGCAATTCATACAATTTCGCATGCATATACATATGTGTGTATATATATAGAGAGAGAAGACAACCTAAACAACTCCAGCAAATGACTATCTCCAACCATTAGCAATTGAGAGGGGAACAATGTCCACCGACATAACAACATTGACTCTCTCTGAAGCAATGAAGTAATCAAATCTAGGCTGTGGCACTTCGTCTTCGTCCCCAAACGAACCGCTCGTGATAGACTGAGCTTCCTCCGAAGAAGCCCTAACTCAAATCGATCGAAATAGTGAAATTCATACACATCGTCTGAATCGAATTCTCAAATTCAAGCTCGAAAGTGAATGATAACGAATCAGTTGGTCATCAGAGAGTGAGAAATTTATGATGTAAAATTGAGAAATAATTGCTAGAGATTGTGGAATGCTCTTTTATAGAAATCGATCGGCGAGTAGTTTGAGAGAGGCGGTGGAAAAGGTCGAAGTGATTGACTGAGTGAGCTGGTATTCTGGAGCGTGCGGTGATGGCGTGGAGAGAAAGGGCATCCGTCCGGCGATGGCGAGGAATGCACAATGGGGTATTATGAAGTAGTGAATGACTGATATGAGATTGAGTAGACCGAGTGAGCTGCTGGTACGAGATTGAGTGAATTGTGACAAAATTTATTCTGTGATATATTTTTTTTATTCCGTCACAAATACCTTCATTTTGTAACAAATTTTTTTTGGTCATAAAAATTTCTTTTTTCGTGAGAGTTTTTTTTTTTTTTTTTTTCGGTCACAAATACTTTCATTTTGTAATATTTTTTTTTTCTTTCGTCACAAATATTTCTTTTTTGTGACAATTTTTTTTTCCTCCTATCATAAATATCTTTTTTTTTTTTGTGACAAAATAAAAAAATCTGTCATAAATATTGACATTTGTTGTAGTGATTTATGCAAAAGATTTATATTTTTAAGTGAGTTCAAATCCCAAATACTATAATTTATTTTCTCAATATTCAATTATTAAAATTGTATGCTTTAAATCCATTTTATTTGAACGTAGCAAAGAATAAAACTTACAGAAGATGTTAATTTGCACGCAATAAAAAAGTTGAGCTTGTAACGATTGTTTAATCCATAAAAAACCATATTGCTTAAAAAATAAATAAATAAATATAAAATAAAATAAAATAAAATTGAGTTTACGCACACAATAAAATGGTTTGTGGTGTGAAAAAACTATTTTGTCAAAAGAAAAAATATATATATGATGGATGTATAATTTAAATATCCGTTGATAGGAAAAAATAAACTTATCTTGACCTAATGATAGAGGCAACCAAGTGTTGACCAGCCGCCAGATCTTTTCGGTGATCAACGATAATATTTTATTATTAGAGGTAACGATTTCCATAGATAAGAATGATGAAAAATCTTACGCAGGATAAGATTTTCATGGGGATGATGACAAATCTTATCAAGGATAAGATTTTCATGGGATAAGTCCCATGGGATGAGGATGATGAAATTCCCTTATCGAGAATAAGGGAAGTGACGATAAATAGGACGACGACTCGGAAATAAGGTACGACGAAAAAACTATTATTAAATTCTTGCCTTCTTTTTAAACCTCCGGTGACTAACTTGACCGTCGGAGAGCTCTTGGCAGGCACCACATCGGTGCCGTCAAGGTTCATCGATCTTCTCCTCTCTTCCTTGCAGGAAAACGGTGTCGTATCGGACCACATGAATTTCACCCTCAACATCCATGATTGAGAGAAAGTTGCTAAATTAATGCACTATCTCATAAGATTGAGATAGGCTTTACAGATTACGATAAGGATTACAGATTATGATAAAGATTAAGTCTACAGATTACGATATGGATTAAACCTTCAAATTACGATAAGGTGACTCTACGTGACATCCTGACCTAAGCCTTATAAAGAAGGCGGGCTAATCAACGTTTTGAGGTACGCAATAAACCCTAACTGAATTTCTTGATTTCTACAGGGAGATTACTTTGCACACTGACTTGTTCATCGGAGCCTACTCCACCGGTAACACATTGGTGCTTGTAGGGACCACCTTTTCTTCTCTTTGTTCAGGAAGTCAGATCAGATTCGGGTTGTACATAATCCATCATCAACAGTTGGCGTCGTCTGTGGGAATGATTTTAGTTCTTTAAACAAAGCATGGTTCGATTGCAATCTGGTCTGGCTGCTGGCGAGGATGAAGCGTTGCAGACTTCTGATCATGGGGACTCGACGAGGCAACCCCCCATCATCCCAAATGATTAGGAACGCGTCGCAGCATTAGAATAACAGGTTCAAACCTTACATGAGGGAATGAACCAATTAGTCCAGCAAAATGCGATGATTCTACAACGCTTAGCCGCCCTTAACGAAGAGAGAAACAGTGAAGTACCAAACAATGACTTCCGTAGGGTTAACAACGACACTGAGCTTAGTCACATAGGGGGTCAACAAAGGTACCATCACCATCGATCTCCTGAGCAGAATACCATCAGGCTCTATAGAGATACTTCTAGTTATGTTGGTGACAAGAGTGAGGACGTCACTCATTTCGATCTAGAGATGCAGGATCTAAAAGCTAGGGTTGAAGACGTCATACAAGCGATGAAAGGGAAGGGTAGGCCGCAGTGAACGATATGGTACAGAAGACCAACCTAGCTTTTAGCCAAGCTGTTATGAGTTGTCCTCTACCTAGCAAATCCAAGATGCCAACTCTTGAGAGCTTCGATGGGATGCGGGACCCTCTCAACCATTTGGATACCTACAAAGCTCTTATGTATTTGCAAGCCGTACCGGGCGAGATTATGTGCAGGGCTTTCCCCACCACATTAAAGGGTTGGGCTCGTTTCTGGTTCAATAAATTAAAGCCAGGCTCTATTGAAAACTTTGAAGAGTTGAGCAAACAATTCATAGGATACTTCATCGCTGGGCAGAGGTATAAGAGACTAGCAACACATTTATTGAATGTAAAGCAGCAGAAGGGAGAGCGTCTTCATAATTACATAAGTCGTTTTAACACTGAAATGTTGTAGGTAGAAGAGGTGGAAGCCCCTACGAGCATGATAGAGTTGATGGTTAGAGCACGGAAGCACATGAACTCTGAGGATGCTATGAATGCAAAAAAAAACAAGGATGGTGAAGATAAGAGATCGGATAAAAAGAGGCCGGCACCTAGCACTAGGGAGGAAAGTGAATCGAAGTACAAGAAATTCTCAAGCACCCAGGCTGACAGATCATCTCGCCGTCCAGTGAGCCCAGGCAAGTATAATAACTACACCCCCCTAAATATGTTTGTAGAGCAGGTCTTTCTACAGATTCAAGATGACGCGTCATTGAAATGGCCACCAAAGCTAAAAGCTAATCCAACAAAGAGGTCTCGAGATAAATATTGTAGGTTCCACTAGGACCATGGACACAACACAAAAGATTGTTTCGACTTCAAAAACCAGATCGAGAACCTTGTTTGTAAGGGTCATTTACGCAAATTCACGACTGGAAATGGAAAAGGAGGCTCCAACCCAGCCTGAGAAGGCCGAGATGATCGCCCTCCTCAACACCAACCAATGGGTGAGATCAAAGTTATATCGGGTGGCTTCTGTGATACCCCCTAATTTCGGAACAGGGGTTGATCAAATTCGCGCACAAAATTAAGGGATATCAAAACAATTAAAGTATTTCAAACAAGCACAGATTACAAAAAGAAATAAAATAAATAAATAACTCACTGAAGGGAATCTATTAAATAAAATTTTTATTAATAATTCTCCAAAATTTACAACTCAGGAATCTTGTAACTCAAGGACCTCTTAACCAAAATCCATTATCCAGAAGTTCATTATTAAATACTAACATTAAATGAAAATAATAATAATATCCTACTTTTAAATAAACAGAAACAATTGATAAGTCCTTTAGCTGCGGATCCTCAACCTTGAGACTTAAACCTCTAATAACCTGAAAAATAAATCGTGGGTTAAACCCTACGAGCAAGTTCTTTCTACCAGTCCTCTGAAAACCAATAAGCAGATCATCTCTGATCAAAACCAAACCTAATAAGGTTTTAACCTTAATATACCATGATATACATATATATATAAATAATTATATACATTAAAACAATAACATCTATAACTAGGTGCATTAATTCCAAAACCATTATCAATGATTAAATAATAATCATACCTAGTCCAATCCGTAATTTTTTTTTTCTTTAAAGAAACTCCTCTAACCTTAATTCCATCCTAGACATCAATTTAATAATTTAAATAATAAAATATAATTAAAAGAATATTATATTTAATTCCAAAACCAATAATGCTTTTAAGTATTTAAATCACACAGCCAAAATCTAGGCTTTGACAAATCATCCATGTCACCACCAGTATTATTTTATTAATATGTATAAAATAATACACCAACATGTAAGTACTATACTATTCTAATTTAAGAATATCTAATCCTAATCCAACTTATACATACAATAACCATAGATGATATATTTTAATTATCTAACACATAGCAATATAATTACACGTTGGCAAATCAACCACGCCATTATAAATATATTTATTTATATATTAGCAATTCAACTATGTCTCCTTTAAGTATATTTATTTATACATTGGCAATTCAACTATATCTTATTTAAGTATATTTATTTATACATTAGCAATTCAACCATGCCTTTACAAGTATATATATTTATACTAATAAACTAGCAACTCATCCATGCTTCCTATGTATGTATTTTATTCATACAAATACTTAGGCAATATATTTACGCCTATAGCAACTCATCCATGTACAAATTATAGGCTCAACGATAACTAATTTATATATAGATATCTCATGCAGATTATAAGCACAAACCTAATTTAATAACCAGTCTATCAAGATATATCAAATAATAATAATAATAATATTAATCATCTTAAATGATATATATATACATACACATATATTATATAAAATATAAATATGTACAATACCATCCATAATAATATTTGATTATTTAAATCATATATATACATATATATATATATCTATATATATATATACACATCCCTCCATACTTATCCTAAACAATTAAACCATATATACATATATATAAATAATTATATATATATATATATATATATACTTATTTTCATAACAATATATTAATTTAATTATATTTATGCAATTTAAATGCTACTAAACATCGTCAGAAATAGTTTTCCATAAATACTCTATCTCGGTTTAAATAACTTTTCGACACTGTCTTACTAAAATATAAATATATCCTAGTATGATGGGAATTTGATAATGAAATTGGTACCATTGGAAAGAGGACGAAAAATCCTTAAATTTGAGCTTAAGAATGACCTAATTTGGATTTAAGATGACTAAGTTATGACCATTTAAATTTCGAGTAATAAAACAAGAATAATAATAAGTTGAGCTCAATCCCTACTGTGAGCGCAACCACACCAGATTAAAAACGACACGTGCGACACTATGATTCACTGGTCCACCAACTTTGATGGTGTGCACCGCACCAGATTCTTTTCCTTTGAGCAGATCTAATCAACGATCCTTTTATGCGATGCACTGAGACTCATGGAACCGCACCACACTAGATCATCTTCCATCCATCAACTTCCACTCGGTGGCCCAGATCAGTTTATCCACCAACCTACTCTATGCCACGCCGCATAGGATTATAATACCTTGTTGATGCGCCGACTACGTTGCAGAAGTCTCGTCTTATATAGATATATATCTATACTATTATTAAATGTGCAAAGAGTTTCAGTGTTTCAGTATTTCAGTATTTATTTATTAATATAAAAAAAAAGAGTCTTTATAAACAAAAAATTACCTAAAAATTATTTAAAGAGTTTTAATTCAAATAATTTAAAGAGTTTAATTCAAATTACAAATTACCTAATAAAATTTATAAAAATTAATTTAAAGAATTTAATTCAAATTACAAATTACCTAATAAAATTCATTTTTCTTGTCCCACATTGGTTTTAAGTAAAAAGGATTATATGGAAGCCTCTTATAAAACTATAGAGCTAAAGAAATACTAATCACACATTTCTCGGTCTTTTGGTTAAGATCAAGTGTAGTACTAATTTTTTTTGGATCGGCCTTTTACTAACCTTTCTTGGTCTTTTGGCTAATTTAAAGAGTTTAATTCAAATTACAAATTACCTAATAAAATTTATAAAAATTAATTTAAAGAGTTTAATTCAAATTACAAATTACTTAATAAAATTCATTTTTCTTGTCCCACATTAGTTTTAAGTAAAAATGATTACATAGAAGCCTCCTATAAAACTATAAACGTAAAGAAATACTAATCACACATTTCTCGGCCTTTTGGCTAAGATCAGGTGTAGTACTAAATTTTTTTGGATCGGCCTTTTGGCTAACCTTTCGTGGTCTTTTGGCTGCTAAGATCAAGTGTAGTACTACTTTTTATAAACAAAAAATTACCTAAAAATTATTTGAAGAGTTTAATTCAAATTACAAATTACCTAATAAAATTTATAAAAATTAATTTAAAGAGTTTAATTCAAATTACAAATTATTTAATAAAATTCATTTTTCTTGTCTCACATTGGTTTTAAGTAAAAAGGATTACATAGAATCCTCTTATAAAACTATAGACATAAAGAAATAATAATCACATATTTCTCGGCCTTTTGGCTAAGATCAAGTGTAGTTCTAATATGCACATATATAAATTGTTTGTTATGAAACAGAGAGAAAAAAGAGGTGTATATATTATAAAAATAGTAATACCACATATATATTATTATTTGTATGCATTCGTCTCTCCAATTTCTTGTCATATCATTCACATCAGTTATAGCCATGCTCTTAACAATATACATAAAAATGCAGTATAAAAAAATTCTTTTCAATTCTTTTATTTTATTTTTAAAATTTAATTTATATTACAATTCCCCTCAAATAAATATTTCTGGCTTTGATTTCCGGTGAAAGGTCATTTTATACCATAGACAGAGAGCGTGGGTTGCTCTGTTTTTGGGGAATCTACATGACAATAGATTTTGGGGTAAATTAAAATACAAACCAGCTGTCTAGGAGCAAATATAGCCAATTACAACCCCAAGATTCAAAAATATATTTCAAAGGCAGGCTACGACTATTAAAAAAAAAAAAGATCAAACACTATATATCTATATATATAGCAAGCAGTCATAAAAGGAAGGTGGCGAGACATCCAATCCCAAGATTTTAAACTAATTCAGCCTAATCATGGACTTTCACAACCTACATCTATTTCTATTCATCATAAGCAACTATTCAAATGACTTGCTCAACATAATCTAATGATAATTTCCTTAATAAACAAAAAAAAACAGTGGTATATATATCTATATATCTATATCTAATTTAAAATTTTCTATCCTTTTTTTCAAAACATTATATTATGATAAAGAGTATTTATGATTTTATCTTATCTATCTGGAGCCATTCCCAAACCTTATACACATCGCCCATCACGTTATGTGAGTTGGTCATGCCCGAAGTCGTCATTTTAATCGCAAGTCCGCTCCGTAATGAGGGGAATGCTAAAGGCAAGGAGGAGCCCGAGGCTCTGACCGTGTGTTTGTTAAAGAATGAACCGGTAGTTCATAGGCAGCTTTTAGTATTTTAGTATTTATTTATTAATATAAAAAAAGAGTTTTTATAAACAAAAAAATTACCTAAAAATTATTTAATGAGTTTAATTCAAATTACAAATTTCTTAATAAAATTTATAAAAATTAATTTAAAGAGTTTAATTTAAATTACAAAGTACCTAATAAAATTCATTTTTCTTGTCCCACATTGGTTTTAAGTAAAATGAATTACATGGAAGCCTCTTATAAAACTATAGACCTAAAGAAATAATAATCACACATTTTTCGGCCTTTTGACTAACCTTTCTTTGCCTTTTGGCTAAAATCAAGTGTAATACTAAAATTTTTTGGGTCGGCCTTTTAGCTAATCTTTCTCAATCTTTTGGCTAAGATCAAGTATAATACTACTATCTCGGTTATTAAAACTCTAACATGAAATACAGTTCAAATATAGAAACTCTAACAATTAATCCCTAATAAAATTTAAATAAAATATTTATTAAAACTGTAACACGAAATATATTTCAAATTATAGAAATCTAAAAAAAAAAGTGTCTATAAAATTCTAAAAATTATTACCTAATAAAATTCAAATTACCTATTTTATCTATTTGTTGTTTCTAAAAAAATATGTACTCTCTATATATAAGTCTTTTATTGCCTTGCTATACAAAATATATTTCAAATTATAGAAAATCTAAAAATTATTACATTGTCGATTTAGCAAACCAAT